TTTAGCCTTAATCGACAATAACAGTCAAATATTTGAACATTTACGCAACAGCGTCTTAAGTGATAAGACCATGATTCAAATTTAATTCCATTAAAAAATCGTAATTGAGAGGCTGTTTGCTTAAAATTCATTGCATTATTCCGTAAAATCCCATGTCTTTCGACGAAATAACGTTATTATTTTAGGAATTCTATCCCGTGGTCTTATATCTTGTCCGAGTAAAGTATTCGCAAACAATGTGGGGAGCCCTATTCGTTTGCATTTTTATTCCATAACTAGGAGATTCAATATCCCATAGCCGAGGGGTCCGGCCCTCTCTCGTATGTATCGAAATATTTCTCTTAAATATACTATATACTAGGTAACTTAATTAACGGCATACTTAGCCAAAAATACAGTAAATGTCGGTATCTATACTATTATAATAAAGCGTAAACACACACTTCTTTGTTGCCTAACATGTCAGCAATTACAGCATATTTTTGAATAGTTCTTTTTTTATGAAAAGCCCTACACACGTCATGCTTTAGGCTATATATTTTCACGCCATTAAGCTTAGGGGGTAAATATTTTGGATGAAAATCCTAATGTGGGAAAGAGACCATAAGTTGCTGCCAACATAAAGAAAGCAATTGTCATTTGTGCGTTTGAATTTTGACATTTCATGCGAATGAAGCCGCGCTGGAACAGCTAGTCATATCTACTAATATTATAAATGCGAAAGTTTAGATGGATGGATGTTTGTTAGAGTTTGCAGCCTAAACGGCTAAACGGATTTCGATGAAATTTGGCACAGACGTAGAGGATAGTCTGGATGAACACGTAGGCTACTCACTTTTGTTTTTTTTAATCACACGCTGACGGAGTCGGGGGCGTAAGCTAGTAATATTATAAAGAGGAAAGATTTGTGTTTTTGTATAGAAATAACTCAAAAACTACTGTGCCGATTTTAAAAATTCTTTCACCATTAAAAAGCTACGTTATCACTAAGTAAGATAGGCTTTTTTTTAATTACACGTAGTCAAAGTCACGGGCATTAGCTTGTAGGTTACAATTTAAGTTTTATTCCTGGAAAAATTCGTTATTTTATTTGGACTCTCTATTTAATCGGACATTTCTTTAAAAACCTAAAACATCCACTAAATGGTAGTGAAAATAGTCTATTTTTAATTAAATAAATTATATCAATATATTGCATATATTTTTAAGATATATCTGTAAAGAAAAAGATAAGATCATAGTTTAAAAAATGCCCACAAAAAATTTGCACGAACCAGTTAAGGATGTCCCAAAGGAGACAAGGGCGTAGGGTTTATGTCACGTAATAAATCAACCGGCGTTACGCTGCTCGGTGGCAGCCCTACAGCTGCGGGAGGGGGCGAGGTGTCAGCGCGGGCGGCGGGAGGGGGGGCACTTTGCGGCAGGACCAAACGACCGACTGATTAATGCGCACCAAGAGCACTAGGGAAGGGGTATTTTTGGTAGTTTTATTTCGATATATTTTTGACGTATTTTAGTTTTTACTTTGAAAAGTAAAGACTTGATATAATACTTTATGGCATTCAAGGTGTAGTAATTTAAACAAATCAGGTAAAAAAAGGGTTTAATTTAAACATTAAATTATATCTGTATTTCTATATACGGGGACTTCACTCCGGTAAGAAATCCGATTTAAATGATAACTAAATCGCTTAAACCACAAAACTATATGCAGTCACAACGAAAAAAATATACAAATAAACCATTTCTATCTATTGTCACAAACAAAAATAATAATAAAAATTAAAACTGTCGATATCTTTCACTAATTCATATTGAGCGTTACATCTCTAAAGCGTGCTCCCGGCAGCGGAAAACGTGTGATCGGTCGACACGAGGCGGCCGGCGCTCACTGCTCACTGACGATGTAAAGCTTGGAGCACACCGCGAACTTAGCGATATAAATTATTTATATCAAAAATATTTTCTTTGCACATTTTGAGGTTAAAGTATGATAATATAATCTTGTAGTAATCAACAAATAATATTGTTATCATTACGCGAAGTGTAACTTTTGCGGTTTTCAAATTTTGAGCACAATTGAGGAGGTCTTTGTATAATTTATGTAGGGCATCTTAAAAGTAATAATAATTATTCACGCACAATATCTTTTTTTATCTGTAAGTACGAATAAAAAATTGTATGTTACAATTTGTGTGATTTAATATTGTCGTTAGTTGTGTGTGTCCACCCTTAGCGACAGGGTCGGCAGTAAAAATCGATACGCTCCTGTCAATCGGTACTCAATGTGACCTGTTTTTGTCGATACTTATGTACACAGTCTGTAATCCTCACTAGTTACACCTTGATTGTGCGGATAATGTCAAAATGTGACAAACAGAAAACAACAGGAGTAGTATAGAGAATGAGTGGAATAATCAAAAGATTTTAAAACTGCAGAATTTCTTTCACGCAAGTTTCTGACCTCAAAAACATTTCATTCCTGTATGTACTATCATACTTAATATTATAAATACGAAAATTTGGATGGATGGATGTTTGTTAGAGTTTGTAGCCTAAACGGCTGAACGGATTTCGGTGAAATTTGGTATAGATGTAAAGCATAGTCTAGAAGGACACATAGGCTACTCACTTTTGTTTATAATTCCACACAGACGGAGTCCCGGGCGACAGCTAGTCACTTGATAAAACCGGTTCAACCGTACTCCCGGCCGGATATACCCGGCCGTTCAATTGGCCCTTTTCGCGACATCCGGACCCGCCCGGGTGCGGCCGCGCGTGTCGCATCACAAAGGAAACGGGAACCCGCACTTCCATCCCCCTTCTACCCTCACATCTCAAAGAATCAAAGAGAAAAACTGCGTACTATTTTGTATGAATAAATTTTATCTTCTAAATCTAGAATAAGTCTAGAAGTAACTAGTGGTCTAGATTATAATAGGTGGTGTATTAATTAAAAAAAAAGAATATCTTTAGGAGAAAATCAATCCACGCACAATACGCATACCAGGAGTTCATAACTCATACAGAGTTATGTGTAGGTTAGCGTATCTTCACTATACCGTATTGGGCAGGTGATAGCGCCACCTGTTGCCGAGTTATCGCAGATCGGTGCCCGAATTTACGGCCAATTGCGTCACCAATGCCGTGCCAAACATACTTAATGCTACGAGGGCGGAATTATTGTAGAGCAGTAGACAGTGCAGTATTGCTATTGTGAAACACTGTTCTACCTTACTGTGTGAATTTTGTCGATTATTATATACGTTAACTGTGTATCGTTAGCGACACTTACCTAGTATCGTTCGTTTAATCACTTTCTTAAGGATGACAAAGAATAAAAAGCAAACAGAGGTTTTAGACTGTGATGATATCACAGATAACATCAACGCTGGTCGATATCTGACGCAATTTTAGTTCTGTTAGTCTGTTCGCGGTCCGGGTTCTGTTAATTACTACGAGCGATAGCACATAATAATGAAGTAGTTTATAAGAAATTTATCATCTATAACACATATCGTTAAGAAGAGAGTAAACGAAGCAAAGACTGTCGATGGAACATATTTAAATCTAAAATAAGTTGAGTATTTAGTAAATTACAATTTTAATTAAAAACTTATACTGAACATATTACGAAGAGTACGCACATACAATGTAAATTAACATACAAAGTACAATGTAAACCAACGCCATCTATTATCAGTTATACAATTACCATTAAAACAGGCGATCTGAAAAGTTTACTAAAACAAAAAAAACTGCTAAATGGAACATTTGGCAACCCTAGTGTCGGCGGCTGGCGCGGTCGCAACCGTGTAATCGCTGGGGCCATTAGACAGCCGTCCCGCCGCGCCCTCACCGGACCTCCCCAGGACGCCCCTTGACGCCCCATGACGCCCCCTGGACGCCCCGGGACGCCGACCGCATGTCCGCTCTCTTCGAGATAACCATCGCCGTTGATACCGCTATTTCGTCGCGTTCGCACTCTCCTGTATTTTATGCCCCTTCTAATGTTGGTTTTCTTATTTTTACTTGTAATTTCCATAACAGATTTTGTAAGCCTGAAGTAAATCTGACTATTGAGATTTTAAAAGGAAGATTCGCATACTTAAGATTTCTTAATTAAAAATATATATCAATAACATTGAACAAAATTTACATATTTTTTTACATTGAATATGTCTTATTTTGTTAGAGTTCATGATCATCATGATATATCAACTCCAATCAATCTTAAACTTTGATCTAATTTTGATCTTTATTTCATCGTATATCTTGCCAAGAACCAAGTAGCGACATCTATTGTCAAAAGGCGATAAATCATTTTAATCTTGAAAGTCAATTGGCAACCCTAGCTGGTGAGGCGACAGGCGACGTAATTACTTTGTCCCGGAGTCGGAGTCGCAGGTAATTAGGGTCGCCGGGACTAGCGTCGGCTAATTGCTGTCCGCGACCGAATTTATGAGTCTAATTACGGGATCTGAAGCTACGGGCCGCGCGAGGAATGTTATAATCTGTTGGAGATCGAATAGTTTTAGCAAAGATGTCGTCGCAACCCTAAGGAAATTAATTAATTTAAGTTGATAATGATAATGCTTAAAGCCAAGCAACAAATTACTAGTAATTTAGTATTTTTATAGATTGATTTTTATAAGCATTGACAAGACAACAAACATTCAGTTAAAATTTACTGTGGTTAGAAAATCTAGGAGTAAAAAATCCATAATTTATTTATTTATGTTATGCAAAAATTGCTAAAGTAAGCTAAAAGAAAAAAATCCTTAAACCAATTACAGTTTAGTTATTGTAATATTTTTTTTTGAAAACGCATTTTAGGTCTAGGACTTTCATTTTTGTGCTTATTATATTACTGTTTGCATAATAGCGCCATCTATCGATGGATAGCAGTAACAAGATTCAACTTGAAATAAGACAACAGATGGCAGCACTTTTGATTTTATGAACCAGGAAAGTTAACATAAAATTTTTATTTGTTTCAGAATGCTCCAAGTCAAGAACCCGTTTATAGAAAAGTTGCAATAGTAGAAAATTTCTTCGATATCATTTATACGGTACACGTTGAGTTGGAAGGCAGGCCTGGGAAACATGCGGGTCAAAAAAGAACTTACAGAACGGTGAGTTGAACTATTTTTGTTTACGCCATCTAGTTAGAAAATAGGACAACATTTTCTGATGAGATTTTCTCGAAGCAAATTGGATAGTTACATACTGATTTTATAGATGGCGCTGTCTCAAGTTAGGATGTAATTGTATGTAGTTTTTTCATAGAAGTGAGGATGTTTACTTAAAATTTAATGTTTTAGACATTTTTAAAACATTTGAGTATACCTTTGTCTTCTGGGACTAAGATTTAAACTATAAGATTTATCTACAAACTTAATATTATTAAATTTTCAAGTTACTTTCCTTGTATTGTTTTATTGGTGTCACTGTTTTTTGTTTTTAGTATATGAAAATGATTGAATGATTTTCTCTTTCTTTCCTTTGATAGGAGATATTTTCTTCCACAGATTACGGAGACATACGCGTTCCTTCCCCGTGAAGCAGTGACCAGGTTCCTGACGGGATGTGCGGAGTGCGCGCGGCGCCCACGCAGTGCATCCCCTCCCCCGTTGCCTACACCCTCCCCTTCCCCCACCAGGCATCCCCCCTACCTGCCGTTCCTCCCGCACTGTGCGACTGATTACACCAGGAATTGGGAATCAGAAATCGACGCAGCCCACTCCAACTATCCTTACGAACCGAAATTCGATTACACAGAACTCCAACCGTTAAAGAAAGTCGACAGCCCTAAGCCAACAGACACGGAAGACCAGGAACCAACTTATATCGAACTTACCTCAAAAAAGGTGAACGCTTTCGATTCAACTCCCTTACTAAACAGAAGTACGTCAGTCGAACCCGCGTTTAGAGAAGAACAGCCAGTTCGCACCGACCCTGAGATAGACAAAGACGAGAATAGTTTAATCGATGTAGAAGATGTCAAAGTCGTTGATAGTCCACCACTATTACTGCTAGAGGAAAAGCAAGAAACAGAACAGGAAGTTACTGAAGATGACAAAGAAAGTACTAAGACGACAGAAAACGTAGAAGTGACTGAACCGAAAGTCGAAGTTAAGAAAGAGAAGAAATATAATCCGCTAGATGTCGCTAATTTGACTTCGAAAGACCCTCCGAAGTCGAGATCTCCGCCTCGGAAGAAATTACTGCCTACAAGTGTAGAGTGTACGAACTCTTATGGGAGATATCCTCGGCCGTGGCGACCTGATGGTGGTTTATACTATGCAGGCGAGGACGTCGATTACAGCGTGCCTATTACCACAGCCTACCTCAAGCATATGCGGAGTATGGCGTATCAAGATAGTTTGGATGGAGAATCAAAGGTAAGTTGGTGGTAATTTTAAAGCTTTATCATTATTTTCTGTAATTACATTATACTGACTTTCGACCGCGACTCCGTTCGCGTGGAATTTAAGAAAACAAAAAAAGCCTATGACCTTCCAGACTAAGCTATATCTACGCTTTAAAAGAGATCCGTACAGTCGTTTAGGCTACAAACTTCAACAAACATCCATCTAAACATTCGCATTTATAACATTAGTAAGATTTCTTACGCGTTAGAGACAATCGAGGGCAGTAAAAAAATACCGTAAAAGTAAGAAATAACTGCAAACTTTAGTAAAATATTTACTATTCATTGCTAGTACAGATTCGTTCTAATATAAACTTACACACAGAATCTCATACTAAGACATATTTCAATCGATATAAGTGTTTAACTTGTTACCGACAGCGCGGCAGCCAAAAATACAAAACACTTATTATTAAACAAACATATCTTTATTAACTTATTTACACAAATATACAAAAACTTAAAACTCGAAATTCTGTCAATCACATCTTGACTTCTTCTTTTTATATATATTCTTTTATAAACGATTATTGCCTTGGTGGCCAGTATGCAACCTCTTTGGCTGTATAAATACTGCTTGTCAGCCAAAGAGGTTGTATTTTGCACTCAACAATAAGAATAGTACATGTTTACGATTTTCATTGTGTTTTCGTTGAAATAATTTAGAATTATCATTTTTGCGTTAACCTAAACCACTAACCCACCGCTTTCAAACTTGTACAAAAACACAAAGCGAGTTTGCGGTACACTTATGTTATATAAAATTTCCCTTTTGATTTTAACAAATATGTGGATACGAAAAATGTTCGGGGCTTTGAAACAGTAATATAGATATAATACCATTTAAAGTTAGTTTACTGACGATCTATGTGAACAAATATATTATTACTCGCGATTTCACCTAAAAAATATATCCTATGTTGTTCATAGATAAATTATCTTTTTAACGGTGAAAGAATTTTTAAAATAGGCCCAATTGTTTTTGAGTTATTTCAATACATACAAAAATACATATCTTTCCACTTCATAATATTTGTAAGATATCTATACTATTATAATAAAGTGTAAACACACACTTCTTTGTTGCCTAAGATGTCAGCAATTATAGCATATTTTTGAATAACTCTTTTTTTAATAAAAAGCCCTACATTTACGTCACGCTTTAGGCTATTTATTTTGACGCCATTCAACTTAGGGGGGTAAATATTTTGGATAAAAACCCTAATGTGGGTAAGAGACCATAAATTGCTGCCAACATCAAGGAAGCAAGATTGCCAAGGTTTGTCTTGTCATGTCATTTTGACATTTGCTATTGACAATTTGACAAATGTAAACAATAATATAAAATTGATGAAGCCGCACGGAAACAGCTAGTGATTTAAGTTTTTTGTACATAAAAATTAATGCGGCAAGATAGGAGAGATTAATTACGAGTGGACGAAGTCGCAGGCAACAGCTAGATACTATAATATTTTCGAGTAGAAATCTCTGTTTAATACTGAGTGAATGTGTGCGGGTTTTATGAGCTATTGGCCGCTAGAGTGCGCTGTAAGACCGCTCGCATCGAATGCCGAATTATTGGTTTGGAGGATCGAAATTTATTAGCTGCCAGAATCTTTTAGCGAATTTACTATAAGCCTTGTTTGTAAATTGTATTCAATTATTTGAAATAATAAGAGAACAATGTTTACAGATGTTAACATAGTTTTTGGTAATGAAAATAGACATCTAAATAAAGTATTTACTAAGCGAATTTCGATGATTTAAAGGTAGCTTATAATACCTTCTTAAAACATAATTAAGTAAGTTGTAATTATTCTTAAAGCTTATATTTTAAAAAATATTTATTTACTACTTTTTACTTATATGGAGGTGCACTATTCAATTTTTAGTTGTGCAACTAAACAGTTGAATTGACTGCGAAACAATCGACAATCGTACAGTTGTGCGATAGTTTAGTCCAAGGCGCACTTAAGTAACGTATATGTGCTGACAACGTGGTATTAGGAGCGCAGGATTTATAGATGATATGTGATCACCTGACATGTGACCTCGTAATGGCCGCGATTGATTCAGACGAATGTCCGACTCAAAGGACCAGAATGTAACGCCATAATCGGGCGCCGCATCTTTTCTAACTCATTTTTCTCGCTCGGGGCGATGTTGGGGGGTGGAGGGTGTAAGGGTGGTGAGGGTGCGGGTTTCATCAGCCTCGGGGGGCGTCACGGCATTAGACAAGACACAAAAACGATGCCCGACAGAGAAGTGGGCAAGTACACTTTCTGATGATGGCTTTTTTTTGACGTGTGCGATTTCTTGTCTAAAGGACCTTTTCTTATTACTTGTAATTTTTGTTTTTGTGTTTAAATCTTTCGTGTCTTGTATAAACTTATTAGCTTTTTTAGGACTTTTAAACATGGCATAATACAATAGAATCTATATATCGTTAAATTTATTTTGTTAGCATAGGTTTAAAAACTTAACATTTTAGATTTTCATAACCTATACAACTAAATTAGGACAATTAGTACAATTAAATTAATTATATATCTTTTTTATTTTATTCACAACATAACTAAATATTTAAACATTATAAAAATAAAAATAAATAAAATTAAATTAAATAAAATTAAATTAAATGAAATTAATTCGTCACAAAATTTCATTTGCGACTTTCTTCATGTCGAGTGTACCGAAGGGTCAGTTGTAGACCGTCCGTAAGAGGGTAGCGTCCCTACGACCCCCGAAACCTACCCCCTGCGCCGCGACTTGTAAGATTGATTGGGGCTCCTTCAGTCCATTCCCACCCCTTGCGGGATTCGACCCTCGCACCCCCCTTTTTTTCTCAGATACTAAATACAGGGATATAGTTTGACTGAATGAGGTATTCTAGTAAATAGGTGTATTTTGTTCATATAAGAACAGCTGAGAAATTCTTACTAACATAAATGCAAAATTACAGATGGAGGGTTTGTTAGAGTTTGTAGCCTAAACTGCTGAACGCATCTCGATGTGTCATAGATGTAGAGGATAGTCTGGAAGAATGCACAGACTACTTACTTTTTTTTAATTCCACGCGGACGGAGTCGCAAGCAAAAGCTAGTTTTAACTATAACATACAAGTCATCATAATACAAATTACTAGCGGTTTCACACGTCTTTGTACGCGTGTAATTTAAAAGAATGCATAGTAAATACATCCTATGTCACTCAGTTATAATGTAGTTTTCTAATGATAAAAAAATATTTATAATTGGTCTAATATATTTTGAGTTTATTCGTTACAAAAAAACAAATAACTACATCCATATATAAAATATTACAAACACTATACTGTTTAAAACATCTCTTTTCTGTTTTCATGTTTCAAAAGTTATTTTTTTACATTTTTGTCTACAATAACAAATGTCAAAGAACTTCAAATATCAGATTAATATCTCTAAATAGTTGTTTATATCGTATCTAGATATAACTAGAGCTGCGGCAACCCCCTTTTTTCCCGTACTGTTAATATCAAGCTATTTAATTCGTGCGCAGTTGTGGCGTGCGACCGCCTTTATGTCGCAGATTACTTCTGTTTTGACGACAAATGTCTACAAATATCTGTTAATATCAAAGAGATTCAAAAATATATAATTGACACTTCACTTGAAACATTTTACAACCTCACTAGCGCTACCTGGTGACCGATAGTCAAAATCACAAAACAAACAATTGATTCAAACATTGAGAAGCGTCTTAGCGTGTCAATTAAGATATAACCGTACAAAGAAATTACCTAAAAAATGTTGTTCCCTACGTCTAGTGTCTGTTTAATGTATTCTTCTTATTCTTTTGGTATTGACGAGGAAATCTTCTAAAGATAACTTCTGGGGGAAAGCAGATGTGGGATTTGATCCACGAAATCGTCAGTGTCCATCAAGTGACAGACGTAGGTTCCGGGATCTTCAAGAAACAAAGGAACTTTCGACACTTATAATTATCAAGTGAGAGAGAACTCTCCTTGTGTCTACGCAGTGTTATGACAACAAACACTATTAGAAAAATCTATTACTCTATACTAAATTTTGCAATCAGACTATCTTATTTAATACTAGCTGTTCCCATGCGGCTTCATCCGCATGAAATTATGAACATTTTATTTTATTGTTAACATTTATCAAATTATCAATAGCAAATGTCAAAATGACATGACATGTGAAACCTGGGCAATATTTCTTTCTTAATGTTGGCAGCAACTTATGGTCTCTTTCCCACATTAGGATTTTTATCCAAAATATTTACCCTTAAGTTTAATGGCGTGATAATATATAGCCTAAAGCGTGACGCAAGTGTATAGCTTTTTATAAAAAAAAGGATTATTCAAAAATATGCTGTAATTGCTGACATCTTAGGCAACAAAGAAGTGTGTGTTTACGCTTTATTATATGAAGTAGAATAGAAAGATAGTCTGGAAGAACACATAGGCTTCTCTTGTTTTCTTAATTCAACGCACACGGAGTCGCAGAAAGCTTGTACTATATAACTCTTTGAGTAATTGAGAATAAAAATATATCTATGTACCTGTTTTTAAGTGTTTAAGAAAATCTTTTCCAGTCGAAATACTTTGTTTACATTTGCCAGTCGGCATCTGTGACCTTGAAACATGACAATTAACTCGACTTCCCCTACAACAAATCGATTCTCAGTTTTAATAACACGAGGGTTGCTTCAATAGGGGTTGATTTTGGATGCGTTTACATCCAATTGATAAATTAATTATTGGTTAGTTAGTTCTTAATTGTTTTTTAAACAATTTTCGATAGACGTCCGCTCGGAGATAAAAAAATCAAAATTGTGACTATGTGTCCTCCAGACTTACAATTTACAACCCGAGATAAGGCTACAAACAAACATCTATCCATCTAAACTTTCCCATTTATAATAGTAAGATTGTGTTGTTCTTTCCCTGTCGAAAGGTCAGTAAGAGAG